AATAAGTCTAAAAAATCCCAAAAAGACAATGAAAATCAAATTAGACATTATGCCATCTCATTCGGATTTTTCTTCAGCATTCGAGTTTTCTTGTTCGCCAACCTCCGAAATAGGCTGTTCGGCCTTGCACTGCTCAGCCTCGTCCGTTGATAAAAGCACCGAAACTCTCTCCAACAATTCTTGGCAGTCTACTGCAGTAACCATCACGGCTATATTTGTTCTACCCCTCCAACACCCGATTGCAATAGGCGCAGCATTTTCTCCAGAAGAATCTGATGTATGACAAAAATGAAAAGTTATTAAAATACTTTTGCTATAGATATAAATTAAGAAAAATCGAAGAATATAAGGCGTGATGTGATGATACAAAAACCTCTAGACAGGAAGACTACGCAGCAGCCGAGCGTTAGCTGTGAGGCCTTTTCTCCGACTTGAGGATTTACGAAATCCGTGAATTTCACTGTTTTGTACTGCAAAAGATGCTTAAAATCGAGAGGGGTGGCGTATAATATCTGCTTTGTAATATGTGGAAGGATCAATGGCAATCCTTCAGATGATATTCGAAACAGACAAGGTGCAGTTGCTCCCTCTTTTGAAGTCTGCCGTTCCTGAAATAAAAAAGAGGGATGCAAAAAACATTTCAGACAAGTAAATAAATACCAAAAAAAAAAAAAAGGCCAAGAAAATATCAGCAAAACTTACAAACATCTTTAACCCAACGGAAGCTATCTTAAGCTGCTGTCCGGCTAGAAAGTTCAACTGGAGAACTTGTTTAACAGAGCTCGACACATAGTAAACTCTCTTTACATGATTCATGTCGTTATTTCTTGTAACAAGATGACCTTTGAAAGGAAAAGATTCCCTGATTCCATAAAACTCCATTATCCTATCCACAACACTATCATCCTTGTAAAAAATAACGGGGTCCACTCCTTTCCATCTCCCTTGGATTTGTAGCTTCCTCTTTCCGGTAACCGTTTTAGCATCAGTTGAGGGCTCTTCAGTTTCCTCTTTTGACTTATCTTGGTCAATCTTATCCTGATCAGTACCTAAAGAAGCTTCTAGAATCCCAGGAGTCAGTTCGGGAATCTGAACATCTGCTGTGCCAATCTCTGGATCTTCTTCTCTAATCCCATCCATTTGTTTATGAGGCTGAGCAGTATTAGAATCCATTTCATTGGGAAGGCTCGTATGTTTATTCCCATTGGCTGCAAGGGCTGAGAAAACAAGAAAATATTTTCAGGGAAACTGCACTTTACAGAAAAATATATCCAAAATACGATATCCACATCGCATATGTTTATATTTTACGAATAGTACCAATAGACAATGGTATTAGTTTAAAAAAAAGGGAGAGTTTTAAATTTTAAGGGGAACTGATACCTATTTTTTTTGTCCTTGGAATTAGAAAACGCAGAAGCAGTTTTCATAATTTTACCTTAGAAATGCACAAAGTGAAATCTTGCACCATCTGTCTTAAATAATGCTTTAGGTGCAACTAATGACTAAACTTATTAAATACTTTACAGCAACTTACCAGGCAAGGAGGAAACCTTGTGAAAAATGGCAATAAAGAAAGCCCCGGAATTTTGATCGTGAGGCACTATCCTCATACAACGTTCCAAAGGAAGATCTGAGACTTCAGTCTCCAAACTGTTTGACGAGACCACAGAGGCATCAGTCCCCTGGGGCCCATTTTCAGAACTGCCATCTCCATTCTCACATAATTGTCCAGTTTCTGTTTCATTACTGTGTTCAGATGTTTCCACGTAAGAATTCCCAGAAGGAAACATACTGGGAAGTACTGCAGATCTACGGTAGTTAGGAACAGCTTTGTAAGAAGCCCACCACTGCCCTTTATCCCGAACCTGGACAAGCAAATCAAAAAATACAGATAAAATGCTGGTATATGAGAGGATGCATAACTTTTATAGATATGGATTTTGATAGTTATGTCTTGTTGTGAAAATTAGATTGATAGCTATTTTCTGTGCAGAAAACTAGAAAGAGCACTCTCGAGATTCGACCTAACTAAACCCAGTGTACTACAGAAATAAACCCTGAGGTTTGATTATATTATATAGTTAAGAAGTTCAATATCCATTTTTGTATGTAAAGGGGTTTATTGAGTGGATTTTACTTATGGAAAGGGTAAAATGTAAGACAAAATAAACTATTAAGGGGTATTTTTCTGTATCTGTGAAGGCGATAGGAGTAAGCATCACGAGAATGAAATATGGAGTTTTATTTAGTAATAAATAGTAACCACAAGCTCGAAACATTCCAGCAGATTGATTTTGGCCAGCAAGAGCTTACCATGCACAATAGTCAAAAGCTATTACAATCTGATTATTATTGCCTCCCATGCCTCTTCTAGACATCCTATATTTATATTACAATGATAAATTATAATAAGGTAGCAATAAAAGAAGAAGAAAACAGAGATTTTCATAAGGTAATAAAAAATCTAGACCCTCAAATCTCCCTGAATCTGTACGTTTATTCTTCGTTATGTAGTTTGCTTGATTAATGGTATATATCACTTGATCTATCAGAAAGTAATTTGTGTTTTTTTTTTTTTATTAGTCGAACCTCAAGGGTACTTTTCATAATGCACCATTTCCTATTTATGCTTGTAACAGCGGAGAAGGGGAACCAACTGAAATTTTTCTGTGAAATACTTACTTTCCATTTCTTGAGACCTGGCCTGCGAACAAGCTGGGGAAGCTCAGAAGAGACATCCACGAGCTCAATTGAACCTTCACATCTTCGCAAAACCTGAGGGCAAATAAGATTTTTAGGACTCGCTATAACATAAAAGCACCTGTGACACAGTGCATGCAAAATTTTTGGAGTGGTTTTTAATTAGCTATATGTCGTCCATACATACACTTGAAAACGATTAATTTTACAATACTCCATAAATAATAATCAAAAGCGTTTAAATCAGCATTAGCCCCCATCTGAAATCATAAAAGTTATTCTTGGCAATATTCATAAAAGTACCTCAGCAACAACAGCCTCATTTTCAACTGGATTCATGGAGCAAGTTGAATACACCATCCGCCCGCCAACTTTGAGCAAAGCTACACCTGAAACGAGAATGTGGTGAAAATTTAAAATCTTTATGTGCCAATTTATTTTGAAAAAAAAAAAAAATCATATTATCTGAAGTAGAGATCACAAACAAAGATTTTCGCCAAGTGTGATAAATGCGCTTGTGAAAGAAGAGCTATTTTCGTCAATTAGTTTTCAATTGTAATGATCATAATACATTATGGTGGATTACAGAAATGTTAATTAAAAATCTAAATTAGTACTTGCGTGTTGATAATTGCATTACAGGTAATTACAAATAACCCTAGATATCTAGAGTAATTACAAGAGGAAAACAACTACCTTCCAGATTTACAATCAACCCTTTGATAAGTGTTATCTATTTTACAATTGCACTGTACTGAACATGACTTGTAGAACAAAAATGGATACGTGGTATTTAAATTCATTAAAGCGTAACTTTAGTCATAAGCGACTGACGTAAACCTCAAGAGTAGTTTTCACAACGATCTCTTTTAGATTATTGGATGCATAATGTTCAGATTTACGAAAACACAGTTGTCCTACCAAATTTACATACGCAGAGTTTTCTAGGACTAAATTTCTGAGGTTGCATGGTTCATGTCCTCTAATATACGCTTCGCGTCAAGAAGTATAAAATAGAATAAAGGTCACATGCCGGAGCCTAGGAATAGGCAAGGATATATGATATGAATAATGAAAGATAGTACTACTGGGTCATCTGCCATGCATTATAACGAATACTGACTGAACCAGCTACAACCACATGTTATGCAAAAACCATAAAACTAAGTGATAAAAAGTGAAACTCAGACAAGGATACCTCGCATTGCTATCTGAACTTGTAGCGCATGGAGTCCATTTCCCATTCCTATATTCCTGAATAGGAAAAGCGATCGGCAGATAATGTAATGCCACAAATGGAATAAATAGACTTGACAAAAAAAAATGAAAAGCTATAATTAGATAGTAGTTACCACTTCCTCCAGATATCCGGAGCTTTACGTAAAGTTCCATC